TTAATATATTTCGTAGTCTACATGTCAGCATATTTAATATATTTCGTAGTCTACATGTCAGCATATTTAATATATTTCGTAGTCTACATGTCAGCATATTTAATATATTTCGTAGTCTACATGTCGGCATATTCAATACATTTCGTAGTCTACATGTCGGCATATTTAATACATTTCGTAGCCTACATGTCAGCATATTTAATATATTTCGTAGCCTACATGTCAGCATATTTAATATATTTCGTAGCCTACATGTCAGCATATTTAATATATTTCGTAGTCTACATGTCAGCATATTTAATATATTTGTAGTCTACATGTCAGCATATTTTATATATTTCGTAGTCTGTACGTCAGCATATTTATATATTTCGTAGTCTGTATGTCAGCATATTTTATATATTTCGTCGTCTACCTGATACGTTTCGTGCTTGTTGTAACAAATCGCTGATGTTTTTATTAATTTTTGAAAGTATGTCTTCAAAGGTAGAGTCAGTCATGTTCCATCGTTTTTCTTGGATGTATTTCAGCAACTGTAACGTTTCGATTATCTGGTCGTTAAGACTGCTAACCACTTCTTCTATAAGTTGATAGCAAGATGGGCAACCTAACAGGAAGAGAAAAAACTCTTTAAATAATTTTACTTAGACTATCTTAAAATATGATCAAAAATAATGATTTATACATACAATATTTGTATAAAAATGCATTTATATGATGAACTAGAAAAATTAACCGAACACAACTTCATTAAATTAATGATTGAAAAGAAACAACAACAATAATATCAATGTGAATCTTTGAAAGTTACTTCGAATTGTGATAATGAAAGTTAATCACTTAATTATTTAAAGGGTTGTCATGGCAGAGCTTTATAGTAAGTAAACGGATAAATCAGAACAATGCGTTGTATTCTTTCCTGGAAAAACACTTTTAACCATTTACAATCGTTTCCGAAACTATGATGTATCCTTGTTTCCCTTGAAGTATTTATTAACCGTCTTCAGCTTTCTTTATTTGTTTTTTAAGTTATTTTCTTCCTCAAAACGTGAACTTCAGTCAATAAAAGATTATGTAGATGTAATCTGTTTTTCTATTCGCTACTCTTTCTGCAACAGACAAGTTTCGCCGAATTTACAGCTCATCAGTGCTGGTATGTCACATGTTATCCAAACACCTAAAATATTTCAGTGGTGAGTGGTACCGGAGTAAACATCTAAACCACACAAAAAGTAGCTTTTTTTTTTAACTTTTTTATTATTTCTAAATCTAGTATTAATGATAAATGCTAAAATTAAATAATATAATATAAAAGTTCAATGGTTAAAAAATATGAATAATACATACACTATGACCAAAACACCTAGGGAGGCCAAACGTCATGACTGCTGGTTATATCTCTATGTGTTTGTTTAGTAAATCATCAGAAATAAAACTGATAAATTAAGGATGAAAAACTGTTTTCTACGAACTACTGATAACATTCATTTAACTAAAATAGCAACGCATTATTAATAGACGATTACAAAAAAACATCCAGCTGGAAATGTCATCTTCCACTATATATATTAATAGATTATAGCAAAATATATCCAACTTTAAATGTCATCTTCCACTATAAATAAATCATTAGAAAAACATCCAGCTTGAAATGTAATATTCCACTATCAATAGATCGTTACAAAAAATATCCAGCTAGAAATGTCATTTTCCACTATTAGTGGATCATTATAAAAAGCATCCAGCTGGAAATGTTATTTTCCACTACCAATAGATTATTACAAAAAACATACAGCTGGAAATGTAATATTCCACTATTAATAGATCATTACAAAAAAATATCCAGCTGGAAATGTCATTTTCCACTACCAATAGATTATTACAAAAAACATACAGCTGGAAATGTCATCTTCCACTATTAATAGATCATTACAAAAAATATCCAACTGGAAATTTCATCTTCCACTATACACTAATAGATCATTACAAAAACATCCAACTGGAAATGTCATCTTCCACTATACACTAATAGATCATTACAAAAACATCCAACTGGAAATGTCATCTTCCACTATACACTAATAGATCATTACAAAAACATCCAACTGGAAATTTCATCTTCCACTATACACTAATAGATCATTACAAAAACATCCAACTGGAAATTTCTTCTTCCACTATACACTAATAGATCATTACAAGAAAGATACAGCTAGAAATATCATCTTCCACTGTTAATAGATCATTACAAAAAAAACATCCAGCTTGAAATGTAACCTTCCTCATTGAGGTATCTTGGAAGTACAATTCATATTTATCACCAGAAGTTCTATGAGAACTGTGTTTAGTTTTCCAGTGACAAATGAGCTCAAAGCGCGGATATTTAGACTAGATTATCAGGTATCATTAAATAATAGCTAGCATTTTAGTCCCTGTTGAACATTCCTCTGTCATTTAACCTTAATAACATTTGTTTCTAGCTATTTCTAGGATAATTTTAAGCTATACTGTTTGAGGTTTTCCCTTACAATGTATGGCTTTGTGTACGTAGAAAAGATTTTAACTTGAACTTTATCTTTACATTATCAAAATAATCAGACGTTAATAGTCAAATTATAGAAATATCGAATGAGCAAAACTTTTATCATCAAATATTTTTATCCAAAAAGCCAATTTTTTAATTATAATTGTAAAATTTTAGCTTTGATCTATTTTATTTTCATTTCATTCAACAGTTTAACTTAGCCCGTGAAACAAAGATTCATTCAGTTGATTGGTCTGGAGTGAGTTTTAGGATTAATACATGTTTGTCTCGTACCTAAAACTCACTCCAGACCAATCAACTGAATGAATCTTTGTTTCACGGGCTAAGTTAAACGGTTGAATGAAATGAAGACAAAATAGATCAAATAGTACCTAAAACTCACTCCAGACCAATCAACTGAATGAATCTTGTTTCACGGGCTAAGTTAAACGGTTGAATGAAATGAAGACAAAATAGATCAAATAGTACCTAAAACTCACTCCAGACCAATCAACTGAATGAATCTTTGTTTCACTGGCTAAGTTAAACGGTTGAATGAAATGAAGACAAAATAGATCAAATAGTAAATAATGTATTTTTTGATAGTTATAAATGCTTTATAAAACTTCATTTTTTTGCTGAAATAATATGCTTTGAAAAAAGTTTTCCAAAGATGCTATTGTAGACGTATCTTTCTAAAGCATGATTTTTTGTGTTATTTTTATTCCGTAACAGAAATGAAAAGCGACATTTGTTTACATCTAGCATTTTATGAACAAAAACGTTCGGAAAGCAAAAATTGCATGTTTTTGTTTCAATCCTGGCCTAGAAACACATTCTATAGATTGGTTGTTACAAGATCAACAGTGAATTAGCTTCCAATATACACCTCCCGCTACCTTTTTATAATTCATATCCAAAATAGTCATCCCTAAATTCGTCACTATGACGCCTGTTGAAGTTTTCCCTGCATTAACACTCTCTAGTTCTAAAATCAAATTTCAAGATATCACTAGACTATTTGGTACCGGGCAGGTGGAATTGACATTCTGTTAAAGCAACGTATATAAATAAACATGATTACAAATATTTAGACACCTTATATCAATGAGTATTATTATACAAAGACTTGTCATAAAATGCTCTTTTTAAATGAAGGCAATAATTTAGGGTATTACCCAATTTTATAAGTAGATAACTTACTCGTACATGTTGAATTTGGCTTAGCTAAGGCATCGCCGTAATAACCTGGTAAACACCTATCACAATTCCAACCAGTTGTATTATGAATGCATTTCAAACACTCTCCGGTTTCTCTAAAAGACAAGATTTAATAACAAAATGAATTAAGCTATATTAGGACTAGCCTTAAACAATGTTCACTTCCACTCTGCAATATATTTTTTAAAAATCAAGTGACCTCATTCGACGATTAAAGAAATATTAATTTTGAATGTACAAATTGTTGTAAATTCTTATATGACAAACAGTTCAGACCTGTAACGAAGTATTTAAATAGTTTTAAGCTAAATATCTGACAATCTAAGATATTTCTTGACTATTCAGAGCTTCCAAGGATGAAAGATTCGCCAAGTATGTTTGACTAAACAATTGACCATTTGTGTTCTTAACCGTTTGCACCTCCATATTTCCATTCTCTATAGACACACACACAACAGGAAAATAAATAAGCGGATTATATAAAACAACAAAAATACCTTCTTACATATCACATTCTCTCAAAGCATCCGGATCACTGTTTCCATTGCACTGGCACTTTTCACACCGTTTCTTGGTGTGGGATGGATCACCATAGTAACCTTCAGCACATATGTCACAAGCAGAACCTAAACATTCGAATCAGAATTAAAGTCTGTGTAGACAATAGTTTTCATAGCTATTTTCTGAGGACCAGTTTCGTTTAGAAACCACTAAAAATTTAATTTTATTGATTAATTTAGAAAATACTTTAGCAACTTGTGAAGAACAAACACCGTGCAAAACATTCAATATTAATGTTTGTCATTATTAATCCTAGGATTAACTAAGGAGTACATATGAATCCCACCTGTTTAATAAACACGTTTTACCAAACTATTTATACACCAAGTTTCTGCACCCTCCCTTGATGGCTCAGCGCTAAGTTTGGTTTCTTTTGAATTTCGCCCAAAGCTACTCGAGGGCTGTCTGCGCTAGCTATTCCTAATTTAGCAGTGATAGACTAGAGTCAACGCCATTTACCGCCAACTCTTGGATTACTCTTTTACCAAAAACACTGAGATTGGTCGTCACATTATTAAGCAATTACAACTATATCACTTAATGACTTGATAATGGTAATAAAGTTATATATTCAGGTGTTGATGACTATTTACCGTTAAGTTATTAAATTATGTTTTGGCTAAATTATACTTTTTAGAATTTTAAAGTGCTTGTCTGGCTAAATAATTCACAAGAATACATTAGTAGCATCAATGTTACATATAAACACAAGATTACTGTGTGAGTAAAAGACACTTCAGAACACCATATATATAAATACACTCCACCACTATGTGAAGCCTAGTCTTATTCTTTCGATTTGCCCTTATCCAGTGTTACTGACGAGGAATGGAATTCCCCGAAAACAGTATAATTCAATGACAACTCGTACATTGAATGATATATTGAGTTTCATATTTATTTTTTAAGTATAAGAATATTTTTTACAAAGCCATGTTATGTGCGTACGTGTTGTGTATTATCACCAGTCTATTGTGAATTTAACAATTTATTGAATCTATATAAATATATGTAACTACTTCGCAGGGTGTGTATGGATCTTTACCAAAATTGGTATGGAGGTTCATTGGGTCCATGCGGGGGTACATACATGTTTTCAGTTTTGCGTTTTTATGGCCATTTTTGCGTTTTTTACTACTTCGCCCCCCTGTTAATGGATCTTCACCAAATGTAGCATGAAGATTTGTTGCAAATTTGCGGTTTCACATTTTATGTTTTGCATCTCTACAATTTCAAGTAATCGTACGCCCAGAAAACATAATCCTATTGATCACAAGAACACGCCACCTCAGCAACTAAAACGTCAGCTCATTTCTCGTTAGCTGACAACTAAATCTTTTGGTATTATACATCATCATTACAAACTCTGTACCTTAAAAATTGTGTTAAGTGTGACAGTCGACTATTTGAAAATCATACATACCCTGTTGTGTAATTAAAAACTGATAGACAAATATCTGAAAAGACAGAATCGAATTGACTGTTGTACCAAGAGATATATCAGAAAGACAAATATTTTAATCAGGAAGACGATAATTATGATTAGTTTATTCATCTGAACGCCACCTTGTGGACTAAACGGTCATATCTGAGACACCTAAGGATCAGACATACTCATCTCTAACTTTGTACTACGGAACAGAGGTATTGGTGTGTTGCTATAGCAAAGCCACATTGAGCTATCTGCTGTGTCGACCGAGGGGAATCGAACCCCCTGATTTTAACGTTGTAAATCCGAAGACTTATTACTGTCCCATCGGGGGACGGGAACAAAGCTAAGGAAAACACTCGGTAGGACTTGAAGAGACTACTCTTAACCGAATAGAGCAGAGTGTGGCCGAGTGTTAACGCACATGACTATGGATTCTAGAGTCTGTTATTTCTGTCTCAGTGTCGCAAAAAACGCGCTCTGCATTTTGAGTTCCTGTGTTTTCTCGGGTTTCATGTCTAATCTAGCCCGTAGGTCACGCTCGGCCTATAAATGATAATTAGAAAAATAGCTATTTAAATAGATACAAATACATGGTAGTATATTATAAAACGGATAAGTTGGTGCACAAATAAATATAAAACAAATTAAGCAAATTCGAAACTGTATAAAACAATTACACAATTAAGGACCGAAAAAGTAAAGGATAAGTATGCAAAATGTACCTGTTAGGTTATCGGGACATACTGTACAAATGACTTGATTGTTCTGTAAAAGTTTACAGCCAACCCCTGGTGGACAAGGACAGGGTTCACAAACCGTGAGACTTGGTGTGGACTTATTTCTATAGAATCCAGAAGCACACTGTTCGCAGAAATCTCCAGTTCTGTCTAATGGACATTTACACGTGCCTGAAAAAGAGTTATGAATTTAAACTACATGTTTCAAAGGAAATGCAGCCAAGATACATCAGAACTAACGGCCTAGAGCACTACTCACAAAATAAGATGAAATTACATGAAAAAATCTGATCAATTTTGTACCAACAAAAAAAAATCTAATAATCTCGTCTGAGTAATACGAAATATTTTTCCAAACTTTGCTATAATATAACTGATCGATTTGTACATACGTAAATAGGTATCTATCATGTGAACAGATAAAATTGTTTACTCGTACAAACAGGTAGTCAATTGTGTTGCTTTGATCCTAAAGCAACAACAATACGTACAAACATCTATTAAACAACAGAGCAGCAGACTTGAAATGTACAATATTTGAACTAAAAATATAAAGAACTAGTGAAAATTGTTATGAGGGGAAAATGAGCATATGGTCATCCTTATATTCAAACTTATTAGCTGTATTTCTTTTTTTTCGATTTGTACTGTTTATTTGAATTTGCTTTTATTATAATATATATACACAATAAATATTTAATGTTTAAAAAATTTGATCTAACGTGATAAACTGGTTGATTTTAATTTGTCAGATACGCATACAATATATGTATCACTTAAAGATACTAGTGCTTTGAAATGCGCCAAGTGCTCTCACTATATACCACGTTTTGGATATCGAACTGTGAATGATGACAAACATCCACATTCGCCGACCAGATAAACCTATACGCAAGGATGTACCTCATGATGGGTGGAACATAATGAACGGGAAGAGCCTATACGTGAGGATGTATCTCATGGTGGGTGGAGCATAACAAAAAGGCAGAACCTGTACACAAGGATGTATTTCATGGTTGGTGGAACATAACAAAGGGAAAGAACCTACATACAAGGATGTATCTCGTGGTGGGTGGAACATAACAAAGGGAAAGAACCTACATACAAGGATGTATCTCGTGGTGGGTGGAACATAACAAAGGGAAAGAACCTACATA